ATATGTTTTTGGTATTTTCTGTTACAAAAGTCTTCCATATTTTCAAACCATATGTGCTTGAATTCTAATGTGATGCTGTTGATTTATCGAAAAATGCATACCAAATCCACACAGAAATAGGTTGTTTCAATGAATAATGGAACTGTATATTGGATAGCTACTAATTTCTGAACTAGATCAAATAGGTTACTTCAAACTAACATGATGGTCTTGTCCAGGTATTAGTTTTGCATATAAGTTGTAATTCCCTCCTTCCTGTTCCCTCACATGTGTTCTTGTAGAAACACATCAGGGGCCATTTTATTCCTTTTGTGGATGACTGCTAATGCCTTGTTTTTACAGCTTTTTTCCTATCATACTTCTGTGGGTAATTTTTAAGTATGTAGATTTTCAAATGTATTGTAACCTGGGGCTTTCTTAATGTTATTTCATGAGTTTCTGGAGGCTGCTTGATCAACAGAATCTTCTAATGTGCAGGCAAGTGTAAGAAAAAACCTAAACATTTTATACATAGAGAGCTATCTAAATAGCGTCTCTGCTCCATATATTGTAGTACCCACGAGAGGCTCATTATAATCCCTGGACCTTTTGTGCACCAAATACTTCAGTCCAGATAATGCTGTGCTCCATCTGCCTTAATCTCTGAGCTGCACAATGTGAAATTCTTAATGCTTTGACCTGCTATGTGCTAGCTTTTTTGATCTTGGGTTTTTCTTGTCCATGTAGCCATTTCAAACAAGTTTTCAAGATTGTTGAAGTTTATCAGTTCTACAGAATTATTTTGTGGTTGGTTGTTTTTTTGTTTCTTTGTTTGTTGTTGTTTTGGTTGTTTTGTTTTTTTTTTTTTCCCTTAAGCCAAGGATAATTTATAAATACTGATAAGCATCTGCCTCTTTATTTTACTATATTTTATGTGTTCAATTTTGTTGCACCATCTTTCAAGTGTTGTGATTTGTTGATATTTTTAAAAGTGTCACTTACTGGGCAGAGATCCAGAAATACGTGGTAGCGAAACTGTTTTTTTCAGCAAAGAAACCTTTGCTTACTCCACTGACATACAATTAAACCTGCTGTATATTTAGCTGTCAGCATAAAACAGGCATAGCAGTGTAATTCAGAGTTTTATTATGGAAATATGATGCTTTTAAAATTTACACATACTTTAGAAATCTTTTAGATGTTATATACAAAAATGTTCCACTCACTATCGTTAAGCATTGGTACTCCACAGAGATAAAATTTTAAGAAAGTACTTGAACCAACTGTTACTTGCTGATTTATTTGCAAATTTAAAATAGGATATGTAATTATCAGCTTTTATTGTTAATGTACTAGGAGATAATGTTATACCTTTCAAACTTTATTTTTAGAATTTGAGTTTACAGAAAGGGATGTGGAAATGCTTAATTTCAACCTTGCTAAAATTAATAATTAACTTTGAATGTTTAAGATTAAATTTTTTCTATAGAAATGACAGGCACATGTAAGATTTATGAATTTTTAAGTGAACCCATTCATTAATTTGATATAGAAAACTTGATATATGTCTATAATGTCATATATATATGAAATAAATGTAAACTAAAAAATCCTTGATTATAAATATAAAATTTCTCTACTGTATAGAAAAAGGTATCAAATTGACATATTATAAAGTTGTACCAATATTTCCTTTACTAGTTTTCACACATTTTCTCAAACTGAATATGCTATCTAAGAAAATAGTTAAGTAGAGCACACTGAAATTATGAAACATAACAATTTAGGAGCAGATTATTATTTCCAGGAGTGATAGTTACCTAATGTTTTCTTTCTTTTTAAACAAATACTCCAAGCAGAAAATTACTTTAAAAAAAAAAAAAAAAAGTAAAGATTTTTGTGTCTGTCCTTTACTACCCTGAAGTCTTTCATGTGACAGTAAATGCTTATCATGAATTTTAAAACTTCTCCTAAGACCACCTGAGTATGAGAAAAGAAAACACTGCACATTTTAATCAAACGTTATTTATCAGTTGAGGATTGTTTATGTGTACAGTTACTGGTAGAAGATAATGCTGCCAGCTGTCTCTGTGCTGCCTACATTCAAGCTCTTCCCTTGTGGCAATGCAAGACAACTTGAAGCCCTTACTCATAAAGTGATGGGTACTTTTCCATCTACTGGCACTTGGATGCTGAACTATTGTGTCAGCAGTTGCATGGCAACTCTGCATGTGCATGTACTTACCCTATCTTAACTGCTTGTCTGTGTTTTTTAGAGGGGAAAGCTTATGAAATAGACCTGGCAAAAATGTGCATTTTGTTGAATGATGAGATACTGACATGTAGTAACTTTGTACACTTCAGTGAAAAATGTTTTGTTATATGGAGGGACTCAACGTTAAAAATGGATTTGTTTTTAATTAGTTCTTCTCAAACTGTTTAAAATGCATGCGTATATGTTTACAATCTTTTGGGAAGAAGAGCTTCTACACCCATCTACAGAGTAACCTTCAGTTTGTGTCCTGGGGAAAAGCTGACCTTGACTGTGGGAGGTGAGGAACCAAGAAACTTTCAGAATGGAGCTTGTGACTGGAAATGAAGGATTCATCTTGGTGTAGATGGAAGATAAAACCAGTGGTTTGATCAGTTGCCTAGTAGAGGAAGGAAGGAAAATTCATGGCAAGTAGAGAAACTCTTCAGCACAGCAGCTGTTGCAAATCGATTGCTTGTAGAGATACTGTTGATGTTCCCCTCCTCATTTTTATTCATATTGTGCTTTGTAATGCTGCATGAGTCTGTGGCATTCAGAATTTACAGTGTTTGTCTCGAACAATCCAAGAGTTAAGTGCAAGATATCTGCTGTGTGTCTTGTGACATCTGAGAAAGAACATCTGTTGATGGACTCTTAGGGAGCAGGATGCTCCCCTGCAATAAATTAAACCTGTGGTGTCAGTCGTCTCATCCTCCCCTTCATTATGCAGAGATCTCAGCAATTATCCCAGAAAGGACTATCTGCAGGCCTTGACTCGGGGCCATACCTACCCCCCCTTCCTATCTCAGAGGAGCATGGAGAAGATAGGAGTTTTTCCTTACTCCGGAAAGAAAAGTGGGGGGGCAGCGGGCAAGAACTGTATAAAAGTCTGGGACTCTATGGGTGCATTTGAAGTACTTTTCCACCAGGAACCACTTCCCCACCGACGACATCGCTGCACCGTGGGTGGTAACTATGCTCTCTCGCTTGCTGTCCTCTATCTCTCTGCTTTCTCCCCTCTTTTCTGTCTCTGTTTTCCTGCCTGTCCTATCCGCTCTAGGGACCTTTGCTTTGTTACTCTAATAAAAGTTTGTTGTGCATGTGACATCTGACCTCGTTTGCGTCTTAATTTCACCATTTGGGATCACCTTTATGAAAAATTGCCACGTGTTCGAACACCGGATCGTGACAGAGTCCAAACCCACAAAAGTTGGACTTGAATTACCAGCTTGGTCCACAGCCACTTAATTCTGTGAGTGTTGCCTTAGCCAAGCGATGTGCTGAGAATGTAGTATTTTGTCTTAACTGTTTTAACATGGCTGCTAGATTCTGTGTCACTATTAATTAACTTGTAGTTCCAGGAGCATATGGTGGGTCTCCTGTGGATTTTCTGATCAATTACTTTTCTTCAGATACTACATTTTTTTGTAGATACCAGCAAGAGGCTTTTTCAAGAACTTTTACAACAAGATCTGTCAATGGATTTAGTAGAAGTGATGTTATGAACATTCAGGCATTATTATTAATGAAGAATAGGTTTGACTATGAGGAATTTAAAGAGCAAATAAATTAATCAGAGTATTTTAGTTGAAAAATATTTTTGTATTCTTAAATCTAAGCACACTGAAACACTCAAAAGTTGGGGGCACAGTCTATTTCCTCCTTCTATTACAGTCTGTTGGAGTTAGGATGTGATAGAGGGAGCAGGGACTCCACAAACTGGTCTTGTGTAGGGTCTACCAGGGAGTCATTGGGTGGAAACAACAATTTTAATTGGATTTGCTAGGAGGTGAAGGGAAGCATTTCTCATAATGAAACTGCAGTTACTTAAAATAGTCTTATACCTTTGAAGCAGTACCTGGATGGTCAGCATGCTTTTCAGAAGGAAAACTAATATGATCAAACAGCCTATGTTACAGTGTACTTTGTAGGTATTTTTAAATAATATTCATTGGTTCAGGGCTAAATAAATAGCTGGCAGGTAGCATAATAAATGGTGAGTCGGAGTGTTGTTACTTAGCTGCCTGGTCTGCCAACATACTTTTAGCTTTATGGTGTGGTAGTGAACAAGGAGTCATTGTGTTCCTGTGTGTCCGTATGACATACGTGACAATTTGAATTGATTTTACAATTTGCGGTTACCATGAGTATGGAAATTATGCATTTGTGCATTATTTTATTTGAAAATATTTTATAAAGAGATGGTGATGTGTTGCAAATAGTCAGCTTTTCTTTACTTAAGACAATCCATCTGTGGGGGTCACAAGTTAATAATGACCGGTATATGGAGAGAAAATTATTTACAGAATTTTGGTTGTAAACTCCAACTGAATGCTCTGTAATTGAGTATTTCAATCTAGCTGATTTTTTATTTCCAGAAATATGTCATTAGGTTGTGTCTGGTTATATCAGTATGTTTTTTAGCTGAACTGTTATCCCTGAGTCATTTTTATCAATATTTCTTCTAGCAGAAGATCACAAGAAATGGTCAGATTAGCTAAGGGCTAAATGTCAAGTGCCAAGCTCTCCTCTGCAGACTAGACTTTCACATTCTGATGGAGATTTCTGTTTTTTTTAATTCTCATGTGCGTATTAATTTTTTTTCACTGGATACTGGGAGACCCTAACAGATAATATCATTGATTTATTCTTAATTGCTCCTGTTGGATTGCTACAATATTGTTGTCACTTAATTTATTTATTATTTTAAATAACAACTCTTTTTTTTTTTTTTTTTTTTTTTTTGTATTTTCTTAATATTTTTCAGATTATGGCACAGGCTCAGGGTTTGGGGAAGAGATATATGAAAGCCTTTTTGAAAGGTTTCTTTGTTGCTGTTCCAGTAACAGTGACTTTCCTGGACAGAGTTGCCTGCGTAGCAAGAGTGGAAGGAGCATCAATGCAGGTATTGCTGAAACTGTCTTTTGTCTGTCAGAAAATTAAAAACTCACTGTCCACTGATAATATCAAGCTGGAAAGTTTCCTCAGTTTTTATTAAATTACCACATTCTAGTATGGAATAGTTAAATTTTGACTTTTTTAAACAAATGCCTTTATGATGTGAAAATAAAAGCTTTTGAGAACAGAACTTGCCAAATCTGTCTCAGTAAAAGGAAAATGTATGGGTAAGTAGTGATGAAGATTTGTTTTAGCTAGCTAGCTAGCTATATCTTCCTAGTAATTTAGAAATAAAGACTTGGGTTTTTGAGCACTATCTTTTGTCTCTTGGAATTGAATTGATGACTTACAAAGAGGCTTTATTAATTTTTAGTAGCTGTATTGTAAGACCAAAATGTTTTTGCTATACTTGCTCTAACTAATGAACAAGTATGAAACTGTTTCAGTAAAGAATACTGAAAATGGCATGAACCTAATATCAAACCTCTGCATATATAGGGCATAAGTATCAGCTCACTGGTTTTACTTTTGTTACACTGAATGTTTAAAAATGGTTTGCTCGCATAGTGGACAGCTACTTTGTTTCCTTTGTTATTGGAACTTGAAAAATTGACATTATAAAGTAGTTAGCTTTTGAATTGTTACATTTTAAATCATATGCACTGTATATTGCTGGGTATCACTAGAGAACTATAATTTGTTTTCATCCAATGTTACAACATTCCAGTTAGCAGAAACTAAGGATTTGATTCTTGGATGCCACGCCTTCTTTTCTGATTTTCTGAATAAGCTCAGAACCTTGAAGAGAGGTTTCACAGTAATGAAGACCAGCTGCTGGAGTTTGAATTGTGCAGCTTTCATGCAGACAAAACTTGGGCTGTAATCTGGGCTTGTTTGATTCGTATTTGATGCTATAAAAAGCACGCAGTGGGGAGGAAGGAATGGCAAGGTGGCACTGTACCTTTTGTGACAGTCTGTAATCTGGTGTTTAACCTCTGCCAAGAAGCCTCAGCTGGTCTACAAGGCGGCTCTCACCTCAAGAACAAGCACCAAAGTAAAATAATCATACCCCAGTAATTCTACAACACAAGACCAGATGTTAAGTGTAACATAAGTTACCTTTGCCCTTTTGATGAATGTTATTCTGAATGTCATTGATGACTAATGAAAGGCAGGAGAATCTCAGGGCTTACAGTTGCAGACCCAGAAATCTGCTCTTGAAGGGAGGAGTGGGAACTTGGGAAACCAGTTTCATTGTCCTTTTGCTATCTTCAAACAGGAGGCATTAAAATGTATATCACAGCATCCAGATCCAGATAGCTATAAAATCAGCCAGATTAATGCAACTCCCACATTTTCCATCTCCCTATTTTTTGTATTTGTTGGGATCTAGTGCCACATAAGAGTCACATGCAGCATTCAAGATGCAGATGAGTCTTGGATTGTATTGTTTTGGTGTGGTGTTGTTTTTTTTTATTAGGAGGGGTGTGTAGCCGGGAGGGTTGTTGTTATTAGTGAGCATGAAATTAAATTAGTATGACTTGAGCATTTAATTTCTGAAGAGTTGTTTTTTTAGCATGCCACATTGACTTTCATTGTTTGGTGGTTTGTGTCTCTGGCGTAGTTTTCTGACTGACATCCATTCTCATTTGGATAGTTTTACCTCAGTATCTGAGCTGCAATTTTCTAGGCTTCTCTATTCCACAAGTCTATTGAGACCCCTGGTCAAGACCTCAGTTTTATGTATCCTTTGAATTGAAGTCTCAAGTGTTAAGGACTGCTCTGGTATTTTTCTGAGATGTTGCTTCTATACTCACTTGAAGGGCATACAGGTGACTTTGTGTTTTCCATGGCAGATTTGAAAAACAGTAGAAATTATTTGCTCAGATTATTCAACTTGACAAAGAAGGATATGCACTCTTTATAGTGGCTAGGAAAAGCAATATATATTTAGTGGGTTGTGCTGGTTTGGTTTTGGTATGGTTTTGGTATTGGGGGAGGGCCTGATGAGTGGCTCCTGTAATAAACTACTAAAAGCTCCTCCTGGCTTAGGGACCGGGACCATCAAAGAGACAATTAGATGTGCCTCTGTGACTAACATGAAAGAACTGATGAAAGACCTGAGCAGAGAGCAAGTGGAAGAAGAGCTGAGCTGGAGAGGTGAAAGGTAGTGCCAAGCTGAAGATCCCGAGGTTGGTGACCAAGGAGGAAGAAGGTGCCCGAGCAAAAGTTCCCCTGCAGTTCATGGTGAGATGACAGGCTGTCCCCTGCATTTATAGTAGCTGGCTCCTGACCTCGTGGGAAGGACTGATGAAGGAGAGGTTTGTGGAGGACTGTCTTCCATGGGAGGGGCCCCATGGGGCAACATGGGAGGTCTGTAAGGAATCCTTCTTCCTGAGGAGGAAGGAGCAGGCAGGAGACAACACACTGTGGACTTACTCTAAATGCCATCCCCTGGCCGCTGGGGAGAAGGTAGAGAAATCAGGAACAAAGTAATTTGGGCTCAGGAAGAAGGGAGGGGTGGGGTAACATACGTAAGCACTGCTCTTTGTGTTGTCTGTGTCCTGTGTGTGTTTGATTAGTGTGAAATTAAATATTGTTTTTCCCCAAGTTGAGGCTCTTTAGCCCATCATTATAAATGGTGAGTAAACTCTTCTTGTCCTTGTCTCCTCGACCCACAAGCTTCTAGTTGGCCTTTGTCCTCCCCATCCTACAGTGTGTGGGTGAGCAGCCATGTAGCTGTTTTTTGGTTTTGTGTTAGGCCCAAACCATGACATTTAATGGCAACCCTGATGAGACACGAACCCAATCTAATCTCTTCCCTTGATGTTGATTAAACATTCCCTCTATTTACTAAAGTATGGGTAACATCTGTGTCTGTATAATTCTCTTGTTGGTTTTATTCTGGGCTGTAGCACTGAAATATAAGTTTCAAGCAAACTTCTATTCCTACAGATGTTTTTCAGACTACAAAAAACCCCACCTTCCTAGTGCTTTTAATCAGATACTAATTTCCTTGCTAAGATTTATTAGACACCTAACTAAGTCTGACAGGGACATAACTATAAGGAATATATTCCTCTCTTGCAGAGTAGCTTGAAGGACTACTGGTCATTGTGTTGTGATTCTTTCTGTTTATGGTGTTATGTGAGGAGTGATCTATATTGAATGTATCTGAAAGCTATGGGTATGAGTGAGAGTGAAGTTCAGTCAGCATGTAGTCATATATCCATCAATTGCATGCTTCCGGTAATATCTTACTGTCTCAATTTGAAGGTATCATGGTATGATTCCCAAGAATTTGTTAGTAATAGACCTCTAAAACATCTGGCTGGCTTTGTTTGCTCCTCATTGTGGCTCCTGCTGAGCCTGAAATTAAAAGTTCTGACAAGAAGCAAGTAATAAATCTCTCTCTCGCTCTCCTGCTTTTGCTTTCTGTTGTGCAATCCCTCCCGACTTTCTGTTTTTGTTTGAAACCAGCCTTACTGGTGCTCAGTAGCTACTGACAATGCTTTTGACACCCTTGCAAGCATGCTGTATAAAGGTACTAATGAAAATACAGATGTTCTCAGTCAGTTAAGACAGACCTAATGCATTTCATTGTCTCAAGCTGATTTTGTGTTTCTATAGTGATTTCAGCTACCTGTCATAATTCTTTCACTTGTGTAGACTTTCGTGTATATGCATATTAGCCTGTAGGGAATAACAGTGACCTATCACAGTTTGTAATTTTAACACCTTTTTAATTGTTTTATTACCTTTTTTTCTTTCAAAATGACTGTTTTTTAAATCTTCACGAGTTGCTTTTTGTTGCTTAAGATTTTATAGATGGATGCATTTTGTTAATAGTGGGTTTCAAGTGAGTTGTAATCTGTTTACAACATGGAATATAAGTTACACAAATAACCTACAATATAATTCCTTAATTGGCTGTTGTGATTTTTTTTTTTTCTTTTTTTCACTTCTCTTGTAATGCTGGATGTGTATTTTAGCACGTTTGATATCATATGGACATCCTGATATTGATTGTTTTTTTCCTCATGAGTTTAATTACTTCTCTGGTATTAAAAACTCATAATGAATAATGATGTGGAAAAGGGAATCCCTCCTCGTTCCCCAGATATATACATTTGTAAATTCATTAAATCAAATGGACTGTTTTCAAGTGAGGTGGAAGATGACACAGTATGTAAAACTTTATATGCAAGTTCTGTTGCAAACAGTTCAATACCAAGGATTATAGCAAGCAGTCTGACAAGCAATCTCTGATGAAGCACACTTGTTTCAGCAGCAAATGTTCTATTTCATTATGCATAATAGCAGTTGTAATTATTCTGTGGCAGTTCCTCCTAACTTTATTATTAGGATTACTGTACCTAAGCCTGGGAGCTCATGTGAATATTCTTTCTGTTCCCTAAGCTATAAGCAAATAAATTGTGACCTTCTGGTATTCACTAGCAGCATAACAACTATCCAGTTAATAATTATTTATAGTAAAAGGGCATGCTTTTACCCTCCTACTTAGAGAATTTCCTGTCCTCTGAGGCTTCATCATATGGCTGGGGATCTCAATTTGCATGCTTTTAGCATTAGATTAGTTAGTAATTGGAAACAGTGAACGTTTTGTGACTTCTGCACCAGACTTCTAAATTAAGACCTGTGTGTCTCATTTGTAGCAGGCTATTATGCCAAGAACTTGGGCAAACAAGTTATAATGCTTTAAGCTAGAGGAAGGAAGAAGCATAGGTATTATTTGGTTTCTTTATAAAAACAAAGAGCCCTTATGAGCCTATTTGTTGACTACTTTTCCAGAAGCTGTATTTTAGTTTTTCTAGACCTGAGATCTTACTACTAGTAAAAATGTCATGAGGAGTATGTTGTTTCTGAATACATGGTATTAAATTATTTACTTTTTGCTTTTTTTTAAGGAATCACAATTTATGTTATTTACATTAAAAGAAGACTTGCTGAAGTTCTTAGTTGTTTTTTGTGGGGTTTTTTTGGTGATTTTTGTTTGGGTTTTTTTTTGTTGTTGTTACTAGTTTCTGTTTTTGTTTTTTACGAAGACTATGACTGTTTATATAAAACAAATGGTGTAACCTTCTAATTTCTCTTACGTTTCTTCTACCAAAATTGTATTTTTTTCTGTGCATTTTGAATATGTCCGTGTTGCTTTCTGTGAAAGAAAAAACTTATTCTACATTGTCATATTTCTCTCAAACATAATTCTAATGTGTTATGAGTTGGATAACCACTCTGTGTCAGAAACACCTAAAAATATATTAATAATAACAAGCATTAGAATATGACATTTTGAATGCTTTAAATTAAAAAAGGAAATGTATTTAAATTCTAAAGCATTTCCTTTGTTGTATACAGAAAACAGTAGGAATCAACTGGGATAATGCAACTGGGACAATACTGTTACTACCTGCTATTTCTCTGTAAGATTAAGTTGGTATAAATTAAGTTGCAAGAAGTTTGTGAACCCTCATGGAAATATTTTCTAAGTATCAGCTGTGAAATACATCATCACTTGGAGCAACAGGTTTAAAATTGCCAGTTGTTTTGACCTTCTCTTTCGGTACTTTAAGATAGATACTTTCCAGTACCAAGCAGTTTACTGTGTTAAAATATACCGCATGTATGACTCCTATTTCCTAAGATCTGCACTTTTGCCCAATTTCATGTATCATTCTTAGCTTTTGGCCCCTGTGTGCCTGTATTGGGTACAATGAGTATGAATGCAAATTGTGAATTTCTATGTAAATAATTTTTATCTAAAGACCTGTGGTGGAAGATGCTGTGAAGATGGAAAACCATTCTGAAAAATTCTGATTAAAAAAAATTATCTACTCGTTCTAGTTTTTTTTATGTAGCTCTTGCAGTGAATAGATTCTAGTAAATAAAATAACAATGGCTGTTAATGTACTTGTTGTTTGGACTGTATTTCTGTGGATATTGCTGTGATCTGCTTTGATCCGCAGGCTTACTCGACTAGCTTATATCAGAAATAGTGTGACCAGCAGGATGAGGGAAGTTATTGTTTCCATGTACTTAGTACTGGTGAGGCTGCACATCAAGTTCTGTGTTCAGTTCTGTGCCCCTTATTACAAGAAGGGCATTGAGGTGCTGTGTGTATCCAAAGAAGGGCGACAAAGCTGGTAAAAGGTCTAGATCACAAGTCTTAGGAGGAGCATCTGAGGGAACTGGGGCTGTTTAGTCTGGACAAAAGGAGGCTGAGGGGAGACCTTATAGCTTGTTACAGCTACCTGAAAGGAGGCTGGAGCGAGTTGGAGGTTGATCTTTTCTCCTGAGTAACAAGTGACAGAACAAGAGAAAATGGCCTCAAGTTGTGCCAGGGGAGGTTTCAACTGGATATTAGAAGAAACTTCTTCACTGAAGCGGGAATTGAACACTGGAATGGGCTTCCCAGGGACGTGATTGAGTCTTCATCCCTGGAGGTGTTCAAGACATATGTAGATGTGGTGCTTTGGGACATGGTTAAATGGTAAACTAGTGGCAGTGTGCTTGATGATGGACTTGCTGATCTTACAGGTTTTTCCAACAAAAATTATTCTATTATTCTATGTCTAGAAATTTACCATATAGTCCAAAGCTCAAAATGTAAGTAGCCGTGTCTGCTGTTAAGCTAAAAATACTGTCATTTCCATCCTCCCAACCCTATTTATTCTTTTAAACTATTATATTCCACACTGTTCTTGTGAATTACATGTACTGAGAACAGCAGCACCTTACTTTTTGTTGCACATTAAAAACCTCATTTTTCTCTAGTCCCATTTTAAAAAAGGCGTTTATCAACTGATCTGGGTAACAAAGAAAAGATTATTGAAGAAATTGTAGTAAAGAGAAATCAGTCCTTATAAATAGTATTTAAAGTTAAAAATAAATACTAAGTATCCATCCTGGTTTAGAAGTGTAGTTTTTCTGAGTAAAAATAGAATTAAATGTAACAGTGTTTATTACATGTGTTGAGAATGGTTGGTTTCAGTCCTTTCCCTGGATTGGTTTGCTCATCAAAAGTACCATCAGTCTGTGGAGGGGAATCTCAGAAGTGAATGTCTGGTGGTATGTGTGGTGGGCCAAGTGATACTGTAAGGTGAACACTGAAAAATCTACAAAAAATCAGATTTTAGCAAATATTGCAGCTATCATACCAATGAATGAGGGGCTGCCTAGTCTCAACTCTGCTTTATTAAATATGACACTTAACTCTAGACTCTAGAGGTCATCTGTGGAGTAACTTGGAGACACTGTAATTGTATTTGAAGAGTTTGAAAAAACTTACTGAAGATATAAGCTATCAAAGACTTTAGTGTGGAGTAGTCTTACATACTTTCTGCCGAATAAGAGGAGTATTTGTGCTGAAATAACCCACAAAAAAACCCCATGAATACAGTGCTCTGGTGAGCTGCTTCCTTCCTCTGCCATTTCTGATAGGTTAACTCACAGCCACCAAGAACCAGTTACCCTAGATTTGTATCACGTCACATGAAATGATTGTGTACAGTTCTGTGTACTCCCTAATACTCTGTACTAATTAATTACTTGTTTATTTTAATGTTGAGGTTAGTGAAGAGATGTACTCCCTAATACTCTGTACTAATTAATTGTTTATTTTAATGTTGAGGTTAGTGAAGAGTCTAATTTCACTGTATGATTCTCTGAGAGCTTGTGCTGCTTTGTATCCTGTAATGGAAGGCGAACATTTACTGGCAGTGTCAGTACATGCTGTAGGTGTAGAATTTGTTATTTCTCTTTGCAAAGGGTGCTGAGATTAGTATTGTTACAAGTATTTAATTTTTAGTGCTTTATGCTTATATAACCAGTAAGATGCCTGCAGAAAGTTTGCTTTTTCTGGATTCTCCTTTGTTTTTAATATGCAGTGAAGGTATTAACTTATTTTCATCAGGCTTGTCGTAAGTATGTATCCTGTGTAATTTAATTTGCATGCAGTAGTGCATTGAAAGATGTGAACTACAGTTTGCCATAAATTAATGACATTTAAAATAGCATTTAATAAAGAAATATATTCCCCAGAATACTACGGATTCTTGGTCCTTTCATGCAACTGGGTATATTTTCACTGATTTTAATGGATTTCAGCTGTTGATGGAATGGGAGTTAGATGGAAAGTACATAGAGGAAATGTATAGATCTAAAGCTGTTATTTTTTTCCCTCTCAGCCTTCTTTGAATCCTGGGGGAAGACAAGCATCTGATGTAGTGCTCTTAAACCACTGGAGCATTCGAAATTATGATGTACAACGTGGGGACATTGTGTCATTGGTGTAAGTAAGTTTGCATACATTTCAATATATGCTGATATAAAACTTGAAGCACTAGTACTTAATATTTAATCTAGAATACTGTAAGCATATATATAAACAAGGTACATAAACATTTTAATAATGCATTGTTATTCCTATAATCAGTTTTCAAAACTCAGGTGTTCAAGGAATGCATTACTGAAGTTTTACTTGAAAGGAATGCAGTGTAATATTATGATATGATGTATGTAAGAGTATTTGTGTACCAAATATGCCAAGAAAAAAGCTGTAAGATAAAGAGAAAACAGAGAAAACATTATGTGGCTTAATGGAGTATACTTGTTTGGCTGTGCACTCATATATATGACAAAAATATTTTTTCTTTACCAATTAATTATTTTTTGTTTCTGAAGAAATCTGGCTGATAAATAAAATTTTAAATTAAATCACAAAAATTTGTTTGTCCTCTATAAAGGACAAATGTCTATAAAAAAAAAAGAATTTTACAATTCTAATGGGAAGGTCTATGTATTGAACCAAAAGGTGGCAATGTTTCGCTGTTGAAAGTATTCAAGACTTAGCAGGACAGAAGCTCCATTTCAGCCTTAATGTAATATAGAAATGGAATGTCAAAGTGTGCATAACTGACATAATGATATAATACATACTCATACTGCATGCTTGGATAGTTTTAGCTTAAGTTTTAGTTTCACAAGTGAAATGCACAATATGTAGATTATAACAGAACTGTCTTTGGAAGCTATGTAATCTGGTTTCCTTTTTTGCCATTATATCTCTTCTAATTGTCCCATTTTTTTGCCTGCCTCTTCACTGTAGTGGTAATTTGTATCACGATTTTTGTTCCCAGCTCCTAAAGCAAACTCTCTCATGTAGTTTTCTTTTGTTAGAAACTTTAAATTTACTTATGGTCTGTCTTATTGTTTGGTATGTAGATTTTCTGTAAATGATCTAGCTACAAATATGAATTTATTAATGCTCGCAATGCCTAATATTGCAAATGGACTCCAATTTCAGATCACTTAATGGCTGCTTGTAAAGTTTGATTCTGCCTGTGTGTGCATCCCTCCTCTCGAGTCATGCTCTGATGAATGTTTAAAACAGTGAATGTGACTGGTTAATAATTAATAGACTGAACATGTCTGATCATAAAACTGAATGAATAGTTTCATTGTTATTATACTTGAGTGTTTGTGGTACCATCTGAGCCATCTACATTGATTACTTTGACTTTGCTTTGGGTTTGGGCGTAACTACTGATGTTTTAGATGTTGTAGGTTTTTTGTCTGTTTTGAAAAAAATTGCCTGTTATTGGTGGTGTTTATGTTAATCCACATGGAAGAAATCACATTGTCTATGCATTGTACTGAGGTTTTTTTTAATCTTTGGGAAAGTACCCTGAATAATCAGACTAGAGAATTCAAAAAGCACGTAAAGAATACTACAATGGAAGTTAAACAATGTAAAAATAATCTGTTAAATTGCTTTGGTATGAAAATATTTAAGGATATTTTATATATCAGTAACAACTTTTAAGTTGTTTAGTACTTCATGATACGGGTTTGTTAGAAGCAGCTTTGGCCTAGCTTATAGTAACGTCAATATTTTAATTGTGTTGTTAAGACTTGCAGGATATAATATTTGGATATGATTTTGTACCCATATTAGTTGTTTGAGACTTAACCTTTGGTACATGAGGTTCTTACTCTATAGGTGTGTTAATATTTTTATCCTTTTCATTTTGATTGTTTACCTATTATTTCTATAACTGACTAGTGAATAGATATCCTATGTATATGCATGGATTGTTCTGGGTGGTCCTCAGAGGATTTGGCCGATTTGGGCAAGACATGAAGAGGGAAGGAAAGTCTCCCATCAGCTCCTGCTTTTTCTGTTCCTGTCAGAAACTCAGATGAGAAAGTGTTGTGGAACTGAGATAGGCAGATGGATATATAAACATTCTTTTATATCCTACTTGGCTGCTTAACAGTTATTCACTCTTTGCCAAGTCATAGTAGAAAATAGCTATGAGGTTGTGGGAAGGTGGTATTTTGCAGAACGAGAGCTGAGGTCAAATTCATGGCAGCTAGGCCAGTGCTGTCCAAGCTCTTTGATTTCTTCATACCATCAGAAATACTGTGTCATTCTAGGTGAGTGCTGTTGCTATCACGTCTTAAAAGGAATTGTTGGGATTGCCACAACTGGCTAAGTCCAGTTAAAGTAGATAGAGAACAACCTAACCTTGAGGCAAAGTGATGAATTAGTCTTGGTGGTTGTGGACACCCCAAGAAAGGGTTAATCAGCCTTTTATTAAGCTTGTGGTACTGGTTGATGATCCAAAAGTTTTTTTTCTCTATCATCCAACCTAGTTCTAGCTGAAATACATGGGTTTTTTTTATTCAGTGGCTTTTGATTACAAATGAGTGTCTGCTCCCACGCACTTGGTAGTGTTTATGCCTGATTAAGGTGTTAAACGAAGGCTGCATGTTTGTGGAAACATTTCATGTGTCTGCCATCCCTATCTCTGCATCTGAGGCAGGTGTAACTATGCATCACAACCACAACTGTGTAATTAGCCACTGTGTGTGCACACATGTGCATATAGCTGATTTTAGACACTATATATTTAGGTTGGCATTAGTCTTTAGAAGTGTAAAATTAGAGTCAGATAAAACCAATGGACAGAATAAGTTAGTAGAAAAGAATTATTTGTTTGTTTGCAATATAGTGTCTTAAACATAGCTAAATCTTACCTCAGCTTTTTAGATGTTTTAAGTTAATGTTTTTCCTTTTAGCTGGAATTGTTCCCTGTTGATACCAGAGTTAAGAGAGCTCAGTGTTGCATGGTCCAATTTTTGAACTCACGATTTGAAGTTGATTCAGAAGTAAGGGAAATTTGTATACTCCTTGATTTTATCACTTGCTTGAGTGCTTAATTTACATACTGCTATATTACTGGGACTTAATAAATTAAAAATCAAAACAGGAGGTTTTTTTCAAGAAATAATTTCCATTATTACATTTTCAAGAATACTGCCTTTGCATCTCTTAAATGTGTGTAAAGAAAAATGTATTATTTTCATTGTTTTGGAAACATATATCTTTATTTTCAAAGGGAGAACATAGTAATGTGACACTTTATGTTACCTTTAAAAGATAAATGGATACCTATTTTTGTCAGATTGACCTTGATCTTTTAATAACTTTGGTGGTGAAACAGGCCTTTTGTTTTGTAAGAGCTCTGCTCAGGTAGATTCCAACGGTTATGTAGAACTTTATCAGATGTTGTGTAATGAGTTACAGGGTGAATAGGCTTCTCTCAGTTGGTAATAATCTTTAAAGTTGGAATGCCACCAACATTGTAGCTGTAACAGTATGCATCACAGTGTGGGCTGGACAGTTTATGCAGGTTCTTGCGAATATGTACTGCAACTTCATTTCCTGGTACTAATGGAGATGGTGCTCTTCTATTGCGTATCAGTGGACATTTTTGCCAACTCACCTATATGTGATTTGGTTCCTACTGCATAGAAATGCAGGTGTTGTTGTGAAAGATGTTACTAAAAATTGATTTGTAGCTCTAAAATTAATTTTGCTTGTCGCTACTGAAAATCTGATAACCTGAATGTAAAGTGTTGTCCTACTTTTTAGTAAAAAATTATTAATGTGGATAAAAGTTGTTTTGCAATATGTGCAAGATTGCAAAATTAGTATGTGCATGTAAAATGGATATTTTATCTATATGACCAAATTTAAGTAAGTTTTTGAAATGGAGATGCAACCATATTAACTCAGACATTTAGAATGTTTGGGGTTTTTTTATATAGATAAAAGTTTGGACAAAGTCTTTTTCTCTACTTGGTTAATAGTGTTTTTAACAAAGGAGTTAACAATGACTACAACAAAAATAGGGCTATTAGATTTTGAATGATAAAATTTCAAGGCTGTAAATGTTCACAGGTGTTAATTTTAGCCTTTGAAGCTTGTATTACTTCTGTAAAGAGAGAACACCTTCTCCAAGGTGTGACTGAGAGTGGGAACTTTCTTTCTGGGTAGATTGCCAGGTGTTCCTTCATTTCTAGTTTAGAATGTGTGTTTATGTGTTAAATAAAAATAGCTATGCTAATATAACCTGGAAAAAGATTGAGAACCAATGCTGTTTGTTCTGTACATTCTGAATGATAATATGCTTCTAAAGTTTTGAACTATAACAGCTAAATAAAAATGGGCAGTATATTTAAAAACATGTTTTTAAAGCTCAGATACAGTAATAAGGAAAAAAATGTTGTCTATTTTGTCTTCTTGTGAGTTACTATATAGAAGTATAATTGCTTTAAGTGCAAAAGCAGCTTCTTACATAGAAAACTCCTTGAAATTTGTTTTAAAAATACCTTATTTCCTTTCTCCTATTCTGATGAAGCATATTAAGTAGCTTCTGTCACTGCTTCCTCTAAGATTATGTTCAGGCCTTGCAGCAAAATCCCTTAGTTTTGATAACAGCTAAGTATTTTTGTATAAGGTTAAATGTGTTTGAACTCTGAAAAATCCAGTGCAAATCAACATTCTGGAGGAAGAATCAAAGTACTGCTGATAAAGTGGTGTCTACTGCTGTATTCCTGACTGACGTGTGTTCAGAAAAGAGAACTGGAGGAGATAGTTTCCATGATGTTTTCATGTGATGGTTCAACAAGTTTCATCATATTCACACAAATCTGATTAATCCAAAATTCGAAGGAATACAGTCCTGTTCAGCTGATGGAAATAAAAGAGATCTCAAATGGTGCAGAGTGAATACCTACTATTCATAAACCATCATGTATTGAAATTTCAATACTAAAACTAGCCTGGTAAAATAAAAATCAGCAAGAAGGTTCTTACTGGAGGAACTGCACTGAATTTGAATCAGTACTTGCAATTATGAAGACTTCCCATGAAATTCTGAGAGGTGTAACACGAGTAGATATTTAGTGGTTCTTGCATTATTTTTATGAAAGTTTCTTTCT